AAAATAAAATTGATTAGAGTGAGGATTTGCATTAAACTAGGTCATAAGCTGAATTCTCAAAAGTTTCTTCTTTGACATTTTTCCGCATCACTTCCACCCCGAACCTTCAGCTACCCTAGTATGGCGATGGAGCTCAGTGTAGGCGGGTGTTTTACCCTGAGCTAGCCCCTTCAGAACCCAAGTCCTGATGTTCTTGTGCTTCACTGGTGATAGCCCCAGGCGGTCTCCACAGATTCGCTTCCTCTTGCGGCTCCGCCCACACTTGTTCGAGTTTTGTTGCTCTGAATTGGGGAGGAGTACTAGCTTGGAGAACTGTGCTTTGTTGTGAGGCACCTGTGCTGGGTGATTGCTTGATGTCCCTGCCATGCTGCCATCCACAGTGTGCCAGAAGCAGTGGGAGGGTTTGAGAAGACCTTGTTTTGTTGTCCCTTTTACTTTTGGAATCTCTTTCATCAGGTCACAGGAGAGACAATTATGTAGATGCAAAAGCAGGCACACTATTAATTAGGCATACTGTAGCAATGGTAGAGTGTGAATAGTATTGGTAGAGTCAGAACAGGCTTAGTCCTTGACCTTACGGAGTTTGATTACAGTTACCTTCACTGCTGCAGAGCCTTGTGAAGACATTTTACAGTTCCATTTGGTTATTTTTGCATAGCATGTTGTTTATTTTGTTCAGTAAGTAGACGATAATATCTGACAGCAAATAGATTTCACGCTAAGCCTTAGATGAACAGGAGCTAGTTGAGAAGTGCAGCACTACTAAATTTGTACTGCCTACTTAGATTTAATCCCAGCCATGAAGGAGTGAGGATTTGCCAGTGGATACAGCTTAGATTTCTAACCCCCTGTGCAGTTTCTTAAAAGACTTCTCTAAACATTTATAGTTAAAAACCAATTAATAACTAATTCAATAAACATAATTTTGAATTTTTTATGAGTCAGATAATGTTCTAGGCAGTGTGTAAAGAAATGATCAAAACAAAACCTGTAATTTCATGTCTGCACCTCAGTGTGGGAGTTAGTAAGAGGACTGTGGAGAAACATGGAGCTAGCAGGGAACACAGGGGAGGCTGTTTGAGATAAGGAAGTGAGGAGGAATGTGTGCCTTGGGATGAAGGGAGTTCATTAGACCTTGGTGTGTGAGGGGAAAGCCTGTTGCTGCCAGAGGAAACCGCAAACACGAGCTTCCTTGCCAGTGAGGAATTTAGTTATTTTTTATTCAGAATAATCAATAGATTTTTTTTTTACTAGCTAGTTTTCACTTTTGTCCTCTGAATGCTAACAATGTCTATTTTGTAGTCAAGATGAAATATATAATTTTAATTTACTATGTATGTTTTATAATATGGTAGTCATTTCATATTTTCTTTATCATTATTGTTAGTGTAAGTATTTGCCACATATGTTCTTGCCTATGTGTCTTCATAGAGAACTTTGAAGAACCAATGCAAATGTCATTTTTTGACTTGAAGACTTTATTCCTGTGGTCATAAGCATGGCTTTCTCCTTAATTGTGTACTAATTATATGTCTGGTATTGCATAGTTATCAGGCTATCTTTGTTTTCACTCATTGTGCCTGTGGCTTTTGACCTAGAATCAAAATGCATTTACTAGATAAATAACTTGTAGTTAGTATTTAGCCTTGAATGTTTATATCATTTAAACCACTTAACAAACATGGTCAGTTTATGGTGTAGAATATTTATCACGGTGCTGTGGCCATTTCCCATCGTTATGACCAAATACCCGACAGAAGCAACTTAAGGATTTGTTTGGCACATGTTTTCAGAGGGCTGTTAGTCTCCCACGGTGGAGGAGACATGGTAGAGTGCTCAGTACAGAGTGGAAGAGCGTAGGCAGTGGAGCCTCAGGAAACAGTAGGTTAGGAAGCAGCGAGGAGGACTAGAGGTAAGGTGTGGATAACTTTTGGTGGCTCTTCTAGTGACATATTTCTACCAGCAGGCCCTGCCTTGAAAACACTCTGTAGCCTTTCTAAAGCTTGCCACCTGTGTGGGAATAAGAGTTCAAATTTAAGCTTGTGGGACAAAGTTCATACTTAAGAAGTGGTTTGTTCAAGATAAATGTGAATTGTCATGAGATACTGTCCAGAAGATGACATTTGAAAATGTAGGTGTGTGTTGGAGATTGGGAGATCACTTTGGAAGCGTCCTTTCTTTTTTTTTTTTTATTTTATTTTATTTTTTCTTATCAGTTACAGTTTATTAACTCTGTATTCCACTCCCTCATTCCCTCCTAATCCCTCCCTCCCTCCCTCATCTCCACCCTGCCCCTTTCCAAGTCTACTGATGGGGGGGACCTCCTCCCCATTCATCTGATCCTGTTTTATCAGGTATCTTCAGGACTGGCTGCAAAGCTCTCCTTTGTGGCCTAACAGGACTGCTCCTCTCTTGAGGGGTGGGGAGGTCAAAGAGCCAGTCATTGAGTTCCTGTTAGAAATAGTCCTTGTTCCCCTCACTATGGGAAACCAATTGGTTACTGAGCTACCACGGGCTACATCCGAGCAGAGGTTCTAGGTTATATCCATACATGATCCTTGGTTGAATGTCAGTCTCAGAAAAGACCCTGTGCCCAGATATATTTGGTCCTTGTGGAGCTCCTATCCTTTCCCCATCAGACTAACTCCCCTTCTTTCTTATGATTCCCTGTACTCTGCCGAAGGTTTGGTCATGAGTTTTTGTATTTGGAAGCGTCCTTTCTTATGAGACATGTGTATGCTTTTTTGATCCTTTAGCTGTTTTCTCAGGCAGGTAGTATCAATAATAGCAATACTCCTTTTCTGACACTAGGAATACAGCCACATTTCTTTCTATATGTTGTACTGACACTTGGATTTGGTGTCTTGAAGATCTGGTTAAAATCCTAAATGTTGTGTTTAGGTAGGTATGATCTTATTAAGCAAGTTTAGTCATTTCCTCTGAAAGGTAGGAAACAGGGTTAGAGATATCATATTACGCTTGTAGAATTGCATTGGTTTCTAGAATTAGAGGAAATAATTTTAGTTCATTTAAGATACAAATAAGTAAGTTTATTTTTACTTCAAAATAATTCAGTGCTTCAGATGGGATATTTGGCATTGAATACAGGAAAACAAGGTGGAATTTAATGCTGTTGTTGATTAAGCAGGCTGTCTTAGTCTGCTGAAGCTAACTCTATTTTCCTCAGTGCCAAGTGCTATTAGTGCTGGGGTGGGGAGGGGAGGAGGAGAAGAATGTTGAGTGGGTGAAACCAGAAGGATACATTGTGCTGTACTGTGTTTAACACCAGCTGAAGGCTCCATGGCGAGAATGTTGTATGTCCAGCACCAGGCGTAGCCTCGCTATTGCGGGCATGATTTAAATGAACGAGTGAATTCCTTTAGAAAAGAAACATTCCAGGTACTGAGCATGTGATTTTACTAGTACATTTTGGGAGCTAAAGTTTATAAAGTATTGACAGAGAAGAAGGATTTCAGCTGTCATGTTTGAAACCATCATACTGTATTCATTATAGCCATGGATCTTATAAAGCAGATTTTATATTTTAAAATAAGTTATCTAATCTGATTTAAAGTGATCATTCTTGTTGAATTAACCTAGAAAACAACTGAGAAAGAAATAAAAAGAGACATTAGAGATGGTAGTAGAGTTAAGAACTCATGACTGTTGCATTTGTGGTGTTGTTCATTGTCAAAGTCAAAGAACAACTTTGTGGACTTGGTTCTCTTCCATGCTTTGGGGAACAAAGCCAGATTGGGGATAGACTTCGGGATGTCAGAGGATTGAAATCAGGGCACCGGGCTTGTACAGCTAGTGTGCTTACTTACTGAAGTATCTCATCTACTCAAAAGGAAATAATATTCTGTGTGGAAAAGTGCATCACTTTTGTCATATTCTTTATTGCTCCATCTTTCATAAAACCATGTATACTACAACTGACTTCATTATGTTCCTGCTATGTTTTAATTCCTGTGCTTTTTGTTGTGGCAGTTTTTCACTGCTGTGCTTCTCAGCCTTGCCAACAGGACCAGATTTTAAAAATTGTTCAGATAACCACTCTGGCAATCTTACAAACTATATTAGACGTTGAAGTCACTGCACTTAGGAATATCCCTGGTTCTACTGATATTATAGATTTAAACAGTATTTTAACGATTTAGTAAAATAGTAGCAATAAGTCTACCAATTTTATAGTCTACCCATGAGCCACATAAGATGTGAGTAAAAATACAGTGCTGTCCTATTTTGGTATATAGGCTTTTGCTAGCTGTAGCATCAGAAGAGACCTTTCATCCCCCCAGCCTTATGTCTTAGAAGACTCTCGTATTACATCTGCCCGCTAAATAGTGTTTTCATTTTTTTATTATATTACTTTGCTTTTTCCAGTGCCTCATGCATAACAGGGTTTATGTAGCCTTTAGTTTTTGATAACTTGAATATGTTATTCTATTTGTCTTCTATTGGAAGGGATTTTAGCCAACAAATGGATATTAGAGAAAACATGAAAAATAAGATTTGAAGAAAGTCTCTTTAAAAAATCTTGTTGACTTTAAAATGTCTACATTTGAAAAACCAGATAGACATATTCTTGGTTTATCATAAATAGAAAACTGTTTTATAATTCCCTTTGTACTTGTTTTGAATGTTTCCAGAACCTTTCATTTTAATTAAACTGGGTTGTCCAAAAGTAACAGTATCTATTCCATGTTAATTTTTTTCTTTTTAATTTGAGGAAATCTTTTTTTCTTTAGAAATACTATATAAAGAGATCTTGAAAGATGAGGAAATGTTAAATAAGTCGAGATGTCTCTGCCTATTGTTAATTGTATTACTTTTACTCAAGTTATTTATTGTATCTTTGATATTAGAATATGTTCTGCTAAGATAGAAGTTCTTGGTCTTAGTCTGAAGTTTGATTTTTGTTTTCCTTTTTAATTACATCTAACTATAGCCTGTGTTGTAGTAGGGCAAGTTAGTAATTGTCTTCTGCTCTGTTTTAGATCCCTGTATATCACTGAGTCCACCATGCTTCACTGAAGAAGACAGATTTAGTTTGGAAGCGCTTCAAACAATACATAAACAAATGGATGATGACAAGGATGGAGGGATAGAAGTGGACGAGAGTGATGAAGTAGGTGGAGTTCCTTTTCCTGGCTTCTCCTTCAGTCTCCACTTTTCCCTTGGTTTTTACAGGACTCTGTTTTTTAGTGCCTTTAACAGTTTGCTTTCTCTTTTAAGCTGCACTTTTGCTTACTGTATTTATGTGGCTTTTCTCACTTTCGTTGCTTGCTATTCTCTCCGCCCCTCTTCCTCCTTTCTGTTTCCTTTTCATCATAATTGTGACTTTACAGATTGGTAGTTGTGGACTTGTTTTTATTTTGAGATTAGGATGTGAAATGTAACTCAGGCTAGCTTCAAACTTCTGGGTTCAAAATCTTTAACCTTAGCAGGGTCTCTAGACATGTGCCCCTATGCTTCCTGGCTACATAAACATCTTCTCATAGTTATAAGTTTCTCAAATACATATCCTGTACTGACTGTGTCACTACTCAGTGATGCTGGACAGACCACTCCAGAATGTTGTGTTAATGACATAGTTTATTCCAAATTCTAAGGGTTAACTGGGCTCAGCTGGACAGTGTTTTTGTTACTGTGGGTATGGGCTTTGGCATTTATGACAGTTGACATATATCTCTGAGCTGGGATGTTTTCTTAGCCTTCATGGTTTCTCTTTCTGTATGTCTGTCATCCAGATACTCCCACCCGTGCAGGTGTGGGTTTATCACTGCTGGTAGCTGTTTTCTAAGTGGTGGCATTCCAGGAAGTTCTTGTGTGAGTGCTTTTTATGCCTCTAGTTGCCAGTATTAGCTAGTATCAGATTGGCAAAGGCAAGTCATGTGGAGTAGCACTGTCTGTGTGGGAAAGGATTATTGCTACCTCACAGTGACAATCTCTAAAGATATGTTTTATTTTTACTTATTTTTGAGATAATAATATAATTACATAATTTCCCCCCTTCTTTTTTCTCCCTCTAAACTCTCCCAACCCTCCTACGTACATCCTCTTTCAAATTCATGACCTCTCTTTCTTTAATTGTTGTTATATGTGTGTGTGTGTGTTTTATGTTATTGTATGTATGATGTTTTCGGGGCTAAGTATTTTGTACTGATGAAATTGCCATGCTCTTTCCTTGAAGACTGTTTTTCATGCTCTCAGCTTTCCTGTAGTTCTTTGTCTAGGATTGAGGCTTATGGGCTTGTTAGCATGTTAACATGTCTATTGGCATCATTGTTCATCTCATGTTTAAGCAGTCATGTTGGTGAGACTTCATGGTGTACCTTCTGACATTTCTAGGAGACATGCTTTCACAGCAAACTCACCATTCCTAGGGCTCTTATCTATGGCTCAACCCCCTTTTCCTGGAGCCTTAGGTTCAGGAGTTGTCTAGTTACCCACAAGTAGGTATAGTCCTCATCCTTCATCAAGGAAACTTTGCAACAGATAGAAACCATTAATTACACAACCACAATGGATTAAAATGCAGAGTTGTGGAGCTCAGTCCCAACTGCTACATTTCCAAGATGTATTCTTAGAATTTAGAATTAAAAAAAAAAAAAAGGATTTACCTTCATTTGTCAACCCTCAACTGTCAGCAGCTCATTAAATAGATGTGGGCAGAGAGAGAGGTGGAGAGTGAGAGTGAGAGTGAAGGAGAGACAGAGGACAGGAAGACAGCCTTAGGGAAAGACAGTACCCTCTAAGACCTGCCTGTAGGCTTCACAAGAAGAAGTTACACTTAGTTTAACAGCAGTTAAACTAACTAGTTTAACTATTTAAGCTATTAGTTTAACTAATTCCTTTAACTAATTAGTTTAACCAGTAGTTACTCACTATTGTAGTTCCTGTGTTATTTCTGTGAAGAGAAACTATGACCAAGGCAGTTCTTATAAAATAAAGCATTTTATTGGGAATTAAAGAAAAATAGATGTAGGCCTTTATGACTCCCATACCCTTCGTGCATAATGTTGACCTGCTTTATTTTACGTGGATCTTGTATAAGCACCCATAGCCACTATGTCACTCCTCCCCATTCTCTGGATCCTACATTCTTTTTACCCTTTCTTATACTGTGTTTCTTGAGCCTTCAGGCTTGGGGGCTGATAAAAAAATGTCAAATGTAGGGGAGTCTGCATTAATTGCTGCCCATTGAAAACAGAAGTTTCTCTTACCGAGGTTGAGATTATCTATGTTTAAATGCATAAATACTTAGATGGTAGTTTGACATGTATTCATTTAGCAAAATGAATAGTAGGTTTCCCCTTAGGGACTATGGCCCTCCCAGATGTGTGCATTTGATCAGGTTTATGGCAAGAATTCACTCTTGTGATGCAGGCCTCAAACCCAATCAGAAAACAGTTGGTTATATCCGTAATGCTGATGCCATTGTGTACTAGTGGGCACATGTTTCCTAGTAAATCAGTACTGTAGCATATAGGATCCACCACAGTTGGGTAAAGCTACCACTGGGGAAAGTTTTGCTCTCTGAGTCCTGCATAGCATTTTCTTAGACCATGAAAACTAATTACCAAAGAAGAAGTTTCTATGCCAGTTCTAGTGTGATTTCTCTATGTCTTACATTGTGAAGTTTTTAGTAATAGAGTCTAGATATGGTGGGCAACCAAGGCAGCATCCTGTTTTGTTTTGGGGAGCCTGTGTGGCCTTTTGACAAGAAAGGTATCTCATACCCAGCACTGAGAGTTATAATAACTAGTGCTTTCTGGGAGTATCATTGTCAATTCATTTAGGGAACCTCAGTTCATAAAAGGCAATCTTTAAGAGTAGAGCTTAGGATTTTATCAATATGAAATTTGTAGAAAATAATACCTTTCTGACCTTTCTTTTTAATATTGATGTTTCAGTACAAATGCAGTATGCCTTTCTACTTTATTGGTACCTAAAAAAATGTAGAAGACCACCATTCAGTATGACAGCCACCAGCCACAGTTAGGTTTTGGATTTTAAACGGAGGTATGCTATTAACTGTAAAATACATGCTAAAATGTGAATATTTGAGGAAAACAAAGTGCATAAATTGGAGGCTTAGGAGAATGCTCAGTCCATGAAATGCTTACTGTGGAAACATGAAGATCTGATGAAAACTAAGTACCAAAGTGTACAAACAAGCTGAGAATGTGGGGCATGCCTTCAATCTCGGTGATGATGGATAAGGACAACATGACTGGGGGAGGGGGGGTTTCTGTGCAGCCTGCCTAGCTGAATTGTTGAATTCCAGATTGTGTGAGATGCCCTGTCTCAGAAATAAGATGGAAACTGATTGAGCCAAGGTGTCTGACACTGACCTCTGGCCTTCATACATACATGTACACATGAATGTGTACACACACACACACACACACACACACACACACACACACACACACACCAGTTGCTTATGGAAGACGATAATGTCTTGGTCATATTAGTAATATTAAATGCAATGCTAAAATAATTTGTTTTTGTTTAATGTGACTTGGAAAATTGAAAATTAAACATGTAGGTCCATTTTGTTCTGACTCTTGGTCTAAAGAGTGTCTAAACAAGTGTCAGTTCTACAGTTCTTGTGCTAGTTTGGTGTTTCCAGTTTTACATATTTTTTTAAATTAAAATATCTCATTAAAAAGTAAATCTGTAATAGCTATAATTAGGGGATTTCATGAGTTTAATAAGAAATCATAGTAAAACAAAATTAAAGTATGTTAATTTCTTGTAACTTGGGAATTATAATAGCACTTTTAAAAATTCAGAAATATTTAGCATTTTAAAATGCTTACTGAAAACTTTTTCTCTTCATTGCTTTCTTGTTTTGTATTTTGGTCATATGAGAAAGAATTGATCAGTATAGTCTATATTTATTCATTTAATTTGGAGCTAATATTTGAGGGCCTTCTGCATGTCAGATGTTCAAAAAGATGCTTGGAAGAATAGATCGGTAATAAATCAGATGAAATCTGTGCTTGTGAGCTAACATTCTGGCAAGACTTGTGGAAAGGCACATTTCAGAAACTCAGTGCATAATCAGGGAAAGGGGTTTAGGACAGGAAGATGGTGGGGAACGGATATGTAACTCAGGTTCCTTTTCATGAGGAACCTCTTAAGGTTCCTCTTCTTGAGCCATTTCTCCACCCCATTTGTATTTTATCTTGGAAGTGAAGTTCCATTCATTGTCTTTCTTCCAACCTGCTTGCTGGTACTTAGATACTGTCCAGCCGACAAGCAGGGAAGGTGGTCAGAAAATGAATAGGAATATTCTGGATTATTGGGAGGACCTTGGGTGCTGCTTACCACAGCTTGTTTCTGTATTTTGCTAGTTAGAAATATTCAGTAGGAAGTTTCTCCACAAGATTACAAAGCTTTGAAGTAGTAAAATTATGTCACTTCCTTCAAAAGGCTTCATTTTAAAAATGATACATAATCACACTTTCAAGGTCAACTCTTAAACAGAATATGTTTAGAATTTTAAGGCATGATGTGTGTAATTAAAAGTTACCCGAGGAGCTCGGATGTGGCCCCTGGTAGCTCAGTAACCAAGTAGTTTTTCAAAGTAAGGGGAACACGGACTATTTCTAACAGGATTTCAAGGGCAGGCTGTTTGATCCCCCCCCCCCCCCCCCCCGGGGAGGAGCAGTCTGTTAGGCCACAGAGGAGGACTTTGCAGCCAGCCCTGAAGATACCTGATAAAACAGGGTCAGATGAAAGGGGAGGAGGTCCTCCCCTATCAGTGGACTTGGAAAGGGGCAGGGAGGAGACCAGGGAGGGAGTGTGGGGTTGGGGAGGGAATGAGGGAGCGGGATACAGCTGGGACACAGAGTTAACAAAATGTAACTAAAAAGAAAAAAAAAAAAAAAGGTACCCGAGGAGTAATGTTTTGCAATGAATGATGACTGTAAATTACATGTACAAAGGTATGAGTGTACTTTGAGGATTACCTGGCATTCTTCTAAAAGGAAAAGCAGGGCAAAAGTGAGATGAATAAAGCAGGTAAAAGGGAATTTTTGCTTCCTGTGTAAATAAAAATGGTAGTTATGCTGGGTTTATGTATTTTTGTTACTGTGGAATCAGACCTATTTATGA